GTTGATGAATTGAAACTGACGGCCTTTGAACTAAAATTTATTCAACATAAAACCATGAATTCATTCCAAATAATTTCTATTATTATTGACGACTTCTGCCCATTTTACAGGCAATTTGCGGATTCCTCTTTCGTGGCAGGATTTTGGTTTTGAATCGAAAAACTTTCAAAGCCAATTTTTGACTGCTTCTTCTGAATCGAAGTGTTCTCCCGCAAGCTCATCACACATGATCCGAAATAAATAGTAATCAAAAGGTCCGAACTGTATGGGGGTCGTGCCAAAAGTTCCCAAACAAGGCTATTTATTTTAGAGCGAGTCAGTTTTGCCACATGAGGGCGCGCGTTGTCGTGGATGAGAACGATCTTTGACTTGGAGGGCCTATTCTTCTTTAGGGATTCATTCACCTTTTCCAATTGTTCACTGTACTTGATTGCATTAAAGGTCGTCTTGCTATCCAGGAAGAGTGTTTGTAGAGGTCTGATGTGACTGTTTGGCCGGGTTGTAGAAGCTCTAAATACACAAGGACCTTGTTATTCCACCATACTGAGAGCATGATCTTTTTCCCATGAATGTCCAGTTTCACGGTCGGATTTGGCCGTTCTCCTGGTTTTAGTCATTTCCGTTGTCGAATAGTATTATCGAAATGGATCCACTTCTCATCTCCAGTAACGAGAGAATCAAAAAAGCCATGATATTTAGCGTGGCGGATAAGGATTCCGGCAATAGCGACCCGTGAAGCCTTGTTTGCACTGCTTAATGCGTGAGGAAGTCATTTCCCGCATCTGATCGTCTTTCCAATGGCGTGGCGATGCTCATGAATGATAGAATTTGAACATAGAAACTGTTGAGCAGGTTCAAGTGTCGTTTGACAAGGATCCGGTTTGATTTCAGCCCTCAAAATATCGTTGTCTACCCCTTGAGGTCGGCGAGAGTGTTCATCATCCTCGAGGCTTTCACAACCATTCCGAAAGCGTCGGAACCAGGCTCGGCATCGGCTTTCGGAGAATACATCATTTCCAAATGCTTTGAGGGATGGTGACCGTCCTTTGGAAAGCAAAATTGAGCAAGAGTTAAGAATGTTCCGGGATGAATATTGAAATAGCCTGCTGCTACTCCAGCACATTTTCGAAAACGTACTGCATATCGAGATTCCACCTCCAACCAGTTTCTTGTCAACTATTTTTAGGTTCAAAAGAATGGGAAATGATACCGTAAATATTGTAATTGTAGCCCATCCCCATAATGACGGTGCGGAGTGTTGCGTAGTCTAGCTTTCAACGAGTTTTTCTCGACACTGGTTTATGCTACAATGCGCGCTTAGGTATCAAAAAATAGCCCGGAATTTCAGCTATTTTTTGATACCAAATCACATTTTTTGGAAGTACGGGCGCTTTGAAAAAATGAAATACTAAAAAACTTTTTGCGACTACGCGACTGTAACGAGGGGCGTGGGTACTATTACAGTATTTACGGTAAGTACTTTAAAAACGGTCAATTACACCCAAGATTAGCTTAATTATAAAAAAAAAAACAAAGAAATAATTGATATTCACTTGGGAACAATCAAAACTTACAATTGTACCATTTGAGATCGATATCGAGTTTGCACCAGTGGAAACCATTCACGTCTAACACCAAGAACAGCTCGTTGCTGAAAATGTAGCTCTTTACCTTCTTTTCTTGATTAAAAATTGCACTCATGTGAAAAAATCAAAGTGTTTACTGGAATGGAACACAAAATAAAACGTGGAAAACGATCTTTTGGTGATACAAATTGCTTTTCTGGAGTGGGAACTTTGATACTTTTGGGAACTTTTACAAAAATAGAAACTTTGTGGAGGTTTTGTCTAATTGTTGCTAAAAATTGAGAAAGTCTAGATTTAGCAGAGAACTCCAGAAAAAGGTACATTGATCCGTCAGAAAGCTCCCAAAAAAGCTCTGAAAAGATCTATATTTTGACGTGAATTTGACTTGAACACGGTCTATAAAAGAGTGTGTTCCTCGCGAGTAAGTAACTACTAGTAAAGCCTTCATAGGCTCCGTATGCAAGCACACTATCCACTACACTACGACTGTCGCTATTAGAGTGTGTTCCTCGAGAGTAAGTAATTACTCGAGTAAATTTGCATGAGTAATTTTTTACTCGAGTAATAGCTCGACTAATTGTTGAGTAATGCGTTTTCTAAAAGTGCACCTGTGCAGTGCAAAAAAATATAAAAGCAATTTTTTGCGCAGCTTTTGGGGTAGGCTACTTTGCGAATTTTTTGCGAACTGGGTCTTTTGCGCAACTGGGTCATTTGCGCAGCTGGGTCATTTGCGCAACTGGGTCATTTGCGCAACTGGGTCATTTGCGCGACTCACCATAACTTTCTTTTGAGTGAACCAATCTTTATGATTTTGGTTTCATTTTGTAGATCTCAATAAGTGCAACAAAATGAAATCAAAATCATAAAGATTGGCTGACTTAGAAGTAAGTTATGGCGAGTTACGCAAAAGACCCAAATAAAATGGCGGAAATTAGCCTACCCCAGACTTTTCAAAAAAAATCATTTTTTTAGATTGGAAGGGAATTTCCCACCAAATCAGTTAAACGGCTGAGTATCTTTAAAAAGTGTCGTATATAATGCGGGGCTCGTGATTTTTGCGTCATTTTTTTGCAATAATTTTTGCTAAAAGTGCGATAATTCTTTTCCAAGTGTGCGTTTTAAAAAACGCATTACTCGCGAGGAACACACTCTAGTCTATAATAGGGTCTATAATATACGCTGGGTACAAGGCCGGGTTTACTGCTGCCCAGAAAGTCTTTTCGTTCTGAGTTTATAGGCCTTGTACGAAGCATGTTCCAAAGCCGATTTTCCAGGCTAAGTTCTGATCTGGCCGGGTTCACTGCATCTTGGCCGTGACCTAAACCGGACTAAACCGTACTTGGCCAACTGGATCACTGGACCAACCAACTGGAACTAGCTTCCAGAGCTGGTCTAGGCGAAGGCTTAGTCCAAAAGCAGTCCTGGGCCTGGCTTGTTTTAGCTTTTAAGCCAGATTAGAACGAGATCTGCAAGTCCTACTCTTTGGTGAGTGATTCTTCTTCACCCGAAGTCATTTCCTACTAGGAATTGAATCAGGAAATCTATGAATAAATCGAATTTTCTTCATAGAATGAAAATGTATTCAAAAACGTTATTTCCTTTGTTTACTCTTTCTCAAAACCACAGTAACCACAAATCGTTTTTCGATCTTTGCAATTTTGCTCACTAAAAATGAGCGCTTGGAAAATCGCTAGTTTGTAAACCAAATCCAGCACTAATTTATCGCCGATTCATGAGATTTTGGTTCCATTTTGATTCTTCAGTCCCACTTACACTCTTCTCTTGCTAATTATTAACCTGAAGCATTTTTTTCTGATTTCTTTCACTTTTGTATTTTGCATGCTCATGAAAATTGGTTTTTCGGTTGAAAAAAACGCTAAACTGGCTTTGATCTTTGTTCTCGATCTGAAAAAAGTACAATAAGCTTTACTATTCTCACAATCGTTAATCAAATCACAAAATCAAACGAAATCCAGGGATTTTTAGATGAATCAATTGCTTTGAATCAATTAATTGCTTCTTGCAACTCTTGTATGTTATTTTGCTTAAAAATTTGAGTTGTTAAGTACAGGCTTGGGTCTCATAAACAACTTTAAACGTACAATCATTTGTTTGATTTATTTTCTTGAACAAAACGAATTCATTTTCTTTTAATCAGTTCATTGGGTGTACTCGGTCAAAGTCTAAACTATTTTTATAATAACTAACTTGTAAAGCAAACTTGATTTTGTAAGACAATCTTTGAGTTTTTGCGTCTCCACGAAAGATCCCTGAACTCGTCAATGACCTAAATCGTGAGTTTACAGGGAGAATTGTTTCAGGGATATAAGAGTATAAGAGATATAAGAGAGAAACTGTATAAGAGATCAAGTTCAACTGTTCGAAAGTGCCGAGATTAGACCTGGATTCAATTCACCAACTTATCAGCATAGCTCTGTCAGCTCTAGGCTGAAATTCGGGGATATTGGACATTTGATACGCGCCCCACCCCCTTTGCTCTTGGCAATCTAACTTTGAGCTCAAATATCTTGGTGTTGGACTGTCCAATTTTTCTTTTCTTGGTATCATTAGATGTGCCAAGTCTTTCTCTGTCGATTGGTATAAAAAGTATTTAAATTGGAAAGGCCAACACCAAGATATTTGAGCTCAAAGTTGGGTTGTCAATGGCAAAGGGGGGCGACAGATATCTGATAAGCCCCACCCCCTTACCATTGCCAATCTAACTTTGAGCTCAAATATCTTGGTGTTGAGCTGTCCAATTTAAATAGTTTTTGTACCAATCGACAGAGAAGGAATTGGTGCATCTAATGATACCAAGAAAAGAAAAAATAGGACAGTCCAACACCAAGACATTTAAGCTCAAAGTTAGGCTTATCAGATGTCCGTCGCCCCGCCCCCTTTGCCATTGACTCTAACTTTGAGCTCAAACATCTTGGTGTTGAGCTGTCCAATTTAAATAGTTTTTATACCAATCGACAGAGAAAGACTTTACGCATCTAATGGTACCAAGAATACTTAAACTGGATAGCCCAATGCAAAGATATTTGAGCTCCAAGTTAGAGTGTCAATGGCAAAAGGGGCGGGGCGCGTATTAAATGTCCCACAATAAAAACTCGGCCCTGTCAGCTAGTCAATTCAGTTCACTGAACTGGACTGGATCAAACTGGATCGTGTTACAGGTCCAGTTAAGATGTGAGGGATTTGAAGATCACCTCTTTGTTAAGAAGCAGGAAAATCACAGCTACAATAATCCCTTGAAGAACCATGCTGATTGTTAACGTGTAGGAGTAGATTTTGAATAGCTGAAAGCTTTATAAACTAATTTTCTTCTTTAAAACTTACCAGGAAAGTGTTTTTGTTTAATGAAAGTGGGAACAAGTGAAGAATCTCTGGAATTGCCACCAAGAGAAATAGGAAAAAGGCGATCACAATGTGGATTCTAAAAAGCAACCAAATTTACAGTACTCTTGGCAAGGCACAGGCTAAGGTAAACTTTGGACTTCACTTTAGACTATCTCTTGCTCAACCCTACTTGATTCTTTTGTACTCGACTGTTGGTACGTAGTTCTTGTAATGACATAAAAGGACTCGAGCGATGTTTAACAACATGATCATTGTTAACTAAATCTCATTAAAGCTCTAAAGTCAATCAAAAACTCACTGTATTTGTAATCAACTTTGGCACGCTGAGAATTAACATGCTCCGTAAGTAGTAGCTTCCTGTAAAAGTTTCAAATCACTCATGAATTCTTTACTCTCACTAACCTAGACATTTCTCCATTTTAAAGTCGTGATCTTTCCACAAAGAAAACAACCAAAAGATAGCGTTGATGAAAGGGAGCACTGAAATGCAAAATGTTATCATACTTTCATAAACAGTTCAATTAAACGGTCCTTTTATGGACTGGGAATATAAAATGTGGTCGGTGACGGGTTTCGAACGACTTCTCGCTTAACGGGCGAACTGCTGACAAATTTACAGTACTCTTGGCAAGGCACAGGCTAAGGTAAACTTTGGACTTCACTTTAGACTATCTCTTGCTCAACCCTACTTGATTCTGACACTCTAGAGCTGACACTCTAGAGCTGACACTCTAGAGCTGACACTCTAGAGCTGACACTCTAGAGCTGACACTCTAGAGCTGACACTCTAGAGCTGACAAGGAGCTCATTGCTACTAGTTTAGGGCCTTATGTCTTACTGTTCTTTCAATCTTTGTAAACACTTACAGTAACCGAATCCAAGGTAAGCCGCTAGAGACTCTTTCCTGCAAAGATTCCAACAGATCCGATTGTGAACATAGAATGCTGAAAATGATTGTAAAAGCAATTTCAAGCTAGCTTTTGCTGATAAATCTAACACTAACTTTCTAAAAAGATCCAAGCAACCACACAGATCTTCCCATATTCTAAAACAAAGAAAAAGAGCTCACAGACGAATGGCTGAAATCATATTAGTAACTATTGAAAAAAAGAAAAGAATAAAAGAATCAAACCATGTTCGTAACGTATCTCCATTCAGTCATGAAATCAACAAAGAGGATTAGTCTGAAACCATTCACTTTTGATGGTTCTTTTATAGAGACTTGGATTGTAACTGGCTTTGAAATTTGGATCAACGATTGATTTTGATTGATGTTCAATGATCAGTCCAGATCAATTCAAGGGTGTTCAATGTCTATTAGAACTTTTCATCTTTCCAAAAAAATCTTTTGAAGGTTGGATAAATCGGCCCTGAATGGGACCGAATCGGAACCGGGTCGGAACCGGGTCGGAACCGGATCGGAGACAAGCCGGATGGGAACCGGATCGGAGACAAGCCGGATGGGAACCGGATCGGAGACAAATCGGCCCTGAAGGGGGACCGATGGGAGCGGATCGGAGACAAATCGGAATGGGACCGAATCGGAACCGGATCGGAGACAAATCAGCCCTGAATGGGGTCCGAATCGGAACCGGATGGAAACCGG